TCAGTTTTAGAGCGCAGTGCTGAGAATCGGGTCATTCTGCAATTTGTATTATTTGGTTGACCAAAATTCTATTTGGCTTTGAATTTCTTATGGTTGGGTGGCAAGTGGCGTGTATTCTTGCATTTGTTATCGTACATATGTATAGAAATGTTACATAAAATATTAACATGCGTTTAACTCCAGCATTATAAATTCCCTATGAAGTGCCTGGTGTGGCCGTAGCATTACTGTAATGCTATTCAGGATTTTTCTAAGTGGCGCTCGTGATATTGAGCGACGTTCCGTGTTATATTTACGCGCTGGCGCCTTTGGAATTTAAGGCGCTCGCACGCAAGAAAAAAAAAATAGACGAGAATATATGTATCTATATGTATGGGGAGACATGAATATTATCTTATTTCGTGAGTTTCCATAAATTTAATCATTTTAAATTTCCTAATTCATTCGGGGCTAATTCAATGCCGCGCAGTGTGTAAGTAGTTCGGGGCTAATTCAATGCCACGCAGTGTATACTGACAGAATCATTCGCCAATATCGTAGAAAATGGGTGAAATCATTATTGTGGTGTTTTGTTATTAAGCACCTTAGCCTCCTACCCAAAAGAAAAAAAAATCCCATTATTTTTCATCATGGTGCGAAACTTTACTAACCCGATTCAGAAAGAATTGTGTTTAATTGAATGGTCACGTTCCAACCTCATGCCCGGTAGAGGGCGACGGTGCTGTTATCAAAGAGCGTAAACTACAATTTACGTTCTTTGTTGACATTTCATTGAAGTTAATTGTGGCCGACGTTAATCATTTCCACAATGAACACGAGGCCAGAAACGGGGTAAGTAGTGACATTTTAGTATTATTTTATTCATTAATTATTGCTTTTCCTTTCAGATCCTGGGATAACTTCCAAGTTGAGCCAGTTGATTGGTTATCCCATTGCTGAAGCACTAAATGGTTGAATGCCACAGAAAGGTGGGCATAACGCTTTCAACGAATAATGCAACTAGGTATGCAGCAAATCAATGTGCAAAGAAAAATTTTAATTCTTTGATTAAATTACGTCGGTTTGCATCGTGGCATCTAGACATCCAATAGCATAATACATTCCGCATATCTACCAAAAGATGCAGGCCGCCTCAGCTAATTTATATTACAAATGCTTGCCATCGGCTTCAACATTATGTAGCCACCATACTGCCGTACGTCTGCAGACAAAACTTCCACTGTGTATGTAAGCGGCCCAGCAACCAATGTTCACGGCAACGTCGTAGCAGCGCTCGAAGCATATAGAGCAATTCGCATAAGTGTGAACAAGTTCTACAGAGGATTGGTTGCTCGTTACTGGGTGCCTCTACAAACACGAACCCAACCGCTCATCATCCACAATCTTGCCATGACTTCCAAAGGTCTGGCTACTGTATCCCTAACCTACGACGTTCCTGGCGCTTAGATTTTCTACCATCCAATTGGACTAATCGTTGCACGTAAGTTTTTCCCTTCTTTTGAAAGACAAAAGCGTTTGTTAAGGTGTAATAAGTTTGAGCTGCAATGAGTGGGTGTAGAGCGTATTGACTACTTGGATAATGTTAGTGCCACATAGTAGGTTTGTTCCACCAATTTGAGTTTCTTTGTTGTATGCTGACACTTTGAACATTTTAAACCCTTACAAACGCATGCATTACTCAGCCCTAGCGTAAAAAATGTACACAAAACTTAG